CTGTAGGGCGAGCCATCGGATCGTGGCATATCGGTGCTCCTGCCAGCGGAGGCGTGCCGGATGCTGGGCTACGCGCCGGGCACGAGGATGAAGCTACTCAAGAGCGTGTACGGCCTGAGCGACGCTCCTAGGTTGTGGTGGGAGGAGGCGACCGATCGCATGATCAGCTCCGGCTTCGTCGTGCACCCCCTGGACCCCTGCCTTTTCATGAGCTACCGCATCCAGGACGGCAAGGCAGACAAGCAGTTCGACGGAGCTATCGGGCTACATGTTGACGACATGCTCGGAGGTGGCAGCAAGGCGGCAAACCAGGCTTGTTTCGCATCGCGGGTCCAGGAGCTCAAGAAGGTTTTCAATTTCAGGGCCTGGCAGTTTGAAAGGAGATGGAGCTATGGACTTCTGTGGCAACAAGCTCAGCCTACGACCAGACGGAGACTACCAAGTGAGCTGCGGAGCCTACATCAAGACGCTGAAGCCCATCACGATCACGACGAACCGAGCGAGCGAGCACAAGTTGGCCATCACCGAAGGCGAGCGACGGCAGTTACGAGGACTAATGGGCAGCCTGGCGTGACCAACCAACCAGTCGGCGCCGCATCTGCAGTGCAGCGTCAGCCTCGGCCAGGGTACGATCAACGAGAACGCCATCGTGCAGGACCTCGTGGAGGATAACATTAAGTCGGGCCTGTCCTCCTACAGGGGGATTTTGAACGAAAAATAAAATCCCACCAGCCCTTTGGGCGTGAGTGGTTTAGAGAGCTCTCTCTGTTTTCACCCCCCTTTCTTCCCCTTCGGGGAGGGGTTTACCCCTCCCCCTACCCCCTCCCCCTGGACCTGGAGAGGGGGTTTCGCGGGTGGTCAGGGGGGTCCTTTTCGACTCCTGGGAGGGCTAAAAAACGACACCCCTCACGAGGATTCTGGCCCCGACGGGGGGGGGGGAGAAAAAACCCTCTCCTCTTCTTTGAAGCCAAACTCATTGAGTTTACTACGGTTTTGGCCTCATTTTGGCCTTCTGAGGGGGCAGCGCTCCTCTTCCTTCATAGCAAAATCATTGAGTTTACGAAGGTTTTGGGCTCATTTTGTCCTTCTCAGGGGGCAGCGCTCATTTGCGCTTCTGAGGAGGTCGCAAGAGGCCCCAAGATGGCCCCAAGAGGCCCACAGGAGGCTCCCAAGAGGCCTCCAAGAGGCCCCCAAGAGGCCCCCCCCCAAGAGGCCCCAAGACAAGAGGCCCCAAGAGGCCCCAAGAGGCCCCCAAGAGGCCCCCAAGAGGCCCCCAAGAGGCCCCCAAGAGGCCCCAAGAGGCTCCAAGAGGCCCCCAAGAGGCCCCACGAGGAGCCCGAACGACTCACACCAGGACGAGGGGCCCGAACGACTCACACCACGAAGAGCCCGAACGACTCACACCACAAGGAGGGGCCCGAACGACTCACACCAGGACGAGGCGCCCGAACGACTCACACCACGAGGAGCCCGAACGACTCACACCACGACGCGGGCCCCGAACGACTCACACCACGAGGAGCCCGAACGAGTCACACCAGGAGGAGGGGCCCGAACGACTCACACCAGGATGAGGGGCCCGAACAACTCACACCACGAGAAGCCCGAACGACTCACACCAGGACGAAGAGCCCGAACGACTCACACCACGAAGAGCCCGAACGACTCACACCAGGAAGAAGGGCCCGAACGACTCACACCAGGACGAGAAACCCCAAACGACTCAAATCACGAGGAGCGCTTTCTCTCCCTCCTCCTCCGCCTCGTCCTTCTCCCGCTCCCCCCACAAGGAGGATGTACAAGGAGGCGGGAGGAAGGAGGAACAGGGGAGATATGCGGGGCCAAGCGGACACACGCCTGAAAAACACGACTGTCGGCATGCTTCGCAAGAGTTGCTGCTGTGAGATGGGCTGGTGGGGATACGCGAAGCGTAAATAATTTTTTCTTGAAAAAATGCCCCAAAATGGACATCATGATATTATCAAAAAATCGTCCCCAGACTATTGTTTGACTATTTTTGAATATTCCCCCTGTAGAGGGACAGGCCCGACTTAAGGCTAACAAGACGCTCCAGTTCGCGAAGGCCAACAGCGACGTGTGCCAGCTCTTCCCCAAGATATGCGACGACCCCGACGAAATGGCGTTCGTATGCATGACGGACGCGGCGTGGGCGGTCTGGAGGGACGGCAGCTCACAAGGCGGATACCTGATCCTGGCAGCGCGCAAAGACGTGCTCAACGGCAAGACCGTCAAGTACGTGGTGGTGGACTGGCGCTCATGGAAGCTTACGAGAGTCAGCAGGTCCTCGCTGGCTGGTGAAGCGCAGGCTGCTGCAGGCGGGGTAGACGCGCTGGAATATGTGAAGGTGCACTACAGCCTGATGCTCGACCCGAGCCGGGACCCGAGGCTTAACGGCACCATGCAGGTGCTGGGCCAGAGCGCGATCGTGGTGGAGGCCAAGGCTCTCTACGACGCCGCGCAAAAGCCCCACGTGGGCAACTTCGACGACAAGAGGACGAGCATCGAGGTGCAGGTCCTGAAGGAGCGTATGACGGCGAGTGCTACAGGCTGGTGCTGGGTCAGCCCGCAGCGACAGCTCGCAGATGGTTTCACGAAGTTGGCGGCTCGACAGCTACTGGCAGATCGACTTAGGACTGGAACAATTCGCCGGCCCAACGGGCCAGAGGCGTGCTGAGATCTCCGGTAACTGGTTACAATTCTTCTAGTTCGCGCGCGCGGGCCGGCCCCTGGGGGTCCCCCGGCGTACCCCGACCGCAGCCCGGGAAGGTCTACTCAGAGATTGTTTTGAAGGCCTTTTTTCGACACCCCTCACGAGGATTGTGGCCTCCGAGGGGGGTGCACTCGACTACCCCGCCCCAAGAGGCCCCCAAGAGCCCCCCCAAGAGGCCCAAGGGGGCCCCAAGACGCCGCCAAGGAGCCCCAAGAGACCCCCAAGAGGCCCCCAAGAGGCCCCTAGGAGGCCCCAAAGAGGCCCCCAAGAGGCTTCAAA